CAATAAAACTTTTCTATAAAATGACGTATTTTAATAAGAAAACTTCACTCAAATCAAGCTTTCCTTCACGTTATGTTTCAATGTCAAGAAACTTTAATTTAAAAGTAATAATGATAAAGGCTCTCTGGATTAAAATCAAATATAATAGAAAAGAGCATTTAGAGCCAAGCGCGGTACATGGTGCGCAAACTATTTATTATTAGTGATAAGTTAATACTAATATAAATTTCGAACGTTTCGACCCTTTATTTGGGTCATCTTCAGCGCAAATTACACTAACAAACATAAATTTAACGTCTCATGGTTATAAAATTCGTCATACAAAGTTATACATGAGTTAAAATTAAAAATTAAAATTAAAATTAGAAAAAGAGAACCGGAGGTCTCTCACATCTTTATGAACGTTGGTAATTCTTTCATGTCGTTGTGAAGGTAACTAAATTAGCGGTTGTTATGCCGAAAATCAGAGTCCGATTTATAAAACTCATATCTATACGTAATGTACAACTATAAACGGCGTTCCACATGTTGTGCAAATATATAAAATAGAGGTAATTAAAACTATTGTGTAAATGTAGGAGACCGACTCACTAGTTATTGAGATGAGTAATGACATCGATCATGAACAATAAGGTGAAAAGAAGAATAAATAACATATGGCGTGACAATAATAAAGATCAAAAAATAAAAATATGATAAGAAAAACTAGGAAAACATCAGATAAAGACTGCCCGCCGCTCGTTAGCGATGGGTCTTTTTATTATCTCCCCTTGGTTTCCCGGAAAAGGATCGTTTAGCGACAAGACCATGTATCGTGTCTCGATTTTGGCGGCAAGATCCGGATGCACGCTAAGTTCTAAGTAGGACTTCTTTGCTTGCATTTTCGCAATTTCCTTATTCCTTTTTATTTCGCTTTTAAGTAGGACTTCTACGTTGCATTTTTGCAATGTCCTTATTCCGCTTGCCCTGATTTCCGCGTTATCGCAATGAAGTGATTGCGAGGTCGCTCGGGCTTCGCGCGTGGCTCGCGTTGTCAGCGCTTTGCTTGGTCAACAATCGTAACGTGAGCTGTATTTGCGTTACACTTCGAGAGCTCGAGTCAGGCTGATCGAGGAGTCCGAACTGTTAACTCTAAGAGCCCTGGCACATAAAAAAACTTAAGCAGTAAGACTTAAGACGTAAGCGAATTGACCAATCACGGTCGAACAGTAAGGCAGCCATATTGAAACGTAAGCTGCGCTGAAAATTCCGTATAGTTGAAATTTTTAAGTCTTAAGTCTTACTACTTAAGTTTTTTTATGTGCCCGGAACCTTAGAGTATTACGTTCGCGCTGGACGCTCAGTGTTACGTTTACGCTGGATGCTTGGTGTTACATTAGCTGCGAGGCGTTCTCCCTAACAACGAGTGGGATTTGTTAAACAAAGGTGGGTTGTTGTTGTTTCGGGGCTTTCGGCTTAGAAAAACGTGTCACTCTCGGTTACGAATGAACGTTGTATTCCTGTTGTACATAATATTTCTGTGTATAAAGTTATTCTCATTTTTACGGAAGTGTCCTTTCATTGCATCTGCGCGAGTGTGAGAGAGAGAAAGGGCGACGAACGTAACAATATACATACTATATTATATGCAAGCGATATTCTATTTGCTATCTGCATATACATAATATATGTAAGCTATACTGTGTTCACGGAGAGAACGACCTCGTTCCGCGCAACTTTGGGCAAAGTGGGGATTAGGTGAGAGACTTCAGCGCGCTACTTCATTTGTACTTTATATGGCTATAAACTTGTGCAAATGGACAATTTCATTATTTTATTATTGTAATCGACAATCAGACATACTTACAATTTTTCCTTAGATTAAAGCAATCATCATTTGCGTAGAAAATTAATGACGTTACGTATCATTTACACATCATTTATGTTTCTTTAACTAGAAACTAATATCGTTCCAATTGACACATATTAACTTTATACAACTGGATATTTCGATTGATCTGTATCTCTAAAACATTTCCTAATTGTATTTTCTAAAAATATATTATTTAGAAATTTTAAAAATATCTTTCGATTTATATGTGTAACATGCAGAAATAATGTTGCAACATCTAAGAAAAGTTGCTTGTTAAAATTTGTTAAATTTTTCTCTGAAGCATTTATAGGATTAACTCACTCTTAGACTTAACAGTACGGGTTCCTCGATCAGACTGACTCGAGCTCTCGAACGTACCGCTTATATATTTATCTTCACAAAAAGTTTAGCCCACTGGTTTAGCCGCTGAGAGTTTCCAGCTTCGACTGGCGGCAATCGTTTTGTCAGTCAATCTTAGGATACCACATTTCGCAACTATCTCGCGAGAGTATCGAGCCACGCGATAACATGTCATCGGCTGGATCCAAAATAACTGTTAATACCGTTTTCTCTTCAAGTAAAGCAAATTTCTGGCCGATACAGTTTCTTGGTCCAGCGTTGAATGGAACGTAGGCATATGGATTTCTATGTTTCGAATTATCCGGAAGAAAGCGATCTGGATCGAACTTTTTTGGATCTGACCAAATTTCTGGATTTGTATGCGTTAATGAGATTCCCAATATGACTGTAGCATCTTTCGGAAGCATATAATCGGCTGAAATAAAACACATTGTTATAGACTGTATTCTGTCACACATAAAACTTTATATTGATAAACGTGTATTACTTAGGAACAACAATTTTTTCCTCAAATTAGACAACACTAACATTCCAATTTCCTGGTCCCCTCGTTTTCTGGGGATTTACCTCGATTCGGAATTAAAATAGAGAGCTCATATCAACAAACTAAAAAACAGGACCATTCCCAGGATCAACATTCTTAAAGCGATCTCAGGCATCAAATGGGGAGCATATTATGCATATGAAATCAGTTTCTATTATGTATCTCATTATAATAAAAAATCAATTTACGATGCAATATTATATGAATGAAATCTTTATCAATCTGTGTGTGTGTGTGTGTGTGTGTGTGTGTGGGTGTGTATGTGTGTGTGTGTAAAATTCAAATGTAATTCTAATTTAAAAAGTAACTGTAGTAATTTATGCATTTAAATATTTGGTAACTTAAAAGCTGTTTAATATGTTTACAGGCTATAAGAATGGAGTTAATCTCTTTGATACTGTGCGCCTTGTTCGTTGTTTTAATCCCCGCGATTATATTGACAGTGTCTTATATCACCAGTATGTTCTTCGACGAAAAATATTTCTCAATATGGTAGATTTCTTTTTGGCATGGCATTTGAATTAATGAAGTTGACGGACTATGGTGAAGAACTTTATAAATAAGATATTGCTATTATATGCTTTTACAAATATTGTTTACATATTTTTAGTAAAAAGTTTAAAAGAATTAACAACTGAAAAAAAATTTGTCATTTATTTTAAATCAGTATAATAATTAGTAAATACTGAAAATCTAATTATGTGCTTATCGCTACAGAACGCTTGCAATGGTTTGAGCAACGTATGATTGATTTTAAAGATGGAATTTTCATATTTTGGGTTGGCTTGAAACCGATGATTAATATTTATAAACCTGATTTTTTACAGGTAAGAATAAATAGAAATTATGGTAATAACATAAAATTTTATAGTATAATATTGGTCATTATGCTGCAATAATAAATTTTCAGTTATGTGATATCAATAATAAAAAGACTTGCCAAGTATACTCTAAATGTCTAATTTTGTTGAATCAGTTAGTTTTGTTTTAGATAGTTTTAGTTTTGTTGAATAAGTTCTTCCATTATAGTAATAAATTGATGGCTTATTTATCCATTTATTCACTTATTTGGCTATTAAAACAACAGTTAAATATATTTACTGGAAAAATAGATGATTTTGTTTTAACATTGAATTTGTTTTTATATTCACACAATCAAATTTACGCGGTACACAAGATCTTTTTGTTCTGTCGAGAAATATATTTTATCTGCAATATCGAATAATTGATTAATGTATCGAATACGGTTTGTTTTCATGAAATGAAGTTCATTGAGGCTCCGTTCCAATATTCACTACCAGTATTAAAAATCTATACGTTTTCAATACTGGCAGTTGATATCGGGTCGCAGCCTGAATGTGCAGTGGCAATAATGATTTTACTGCAAAAGCAAAATTCTTTCTCTTCGTCTATATGCAATCACGGATTATAATATTAGTATAATTTTGATGAGCTCGATTTCTGACATTGCATATGTAAATCAATGCAAAAAATCAAATCTTACGTGTTATTTTATATAATTGTGACAATAAATAAATGGCTTATTTTCGTAGATATTTAGATATAAGCAAAATTTTATGTCGGTATTAATTTAGGTGTATAACAAAATTAATTATTTGACTTAATATTATTTTTGAGATTATAAGAGACAATTTTATTTTTTATGGAATTTGTAAGTAATATAACATACTTTGGAAAGTTGTGGCAATAATATTAATAAATAATTATTTTGCAGAAACGACAATGGGAGTGGATGTACATGCTCAAGAAATTGAAACCGAATATACCACAACAATACATAGGTCCGAAAAATCACGAGTTACATTATTTTGTTAGTTAATAAAACGGTTAATAGCATTAATGATTAATTAAGAAGATCTTTTTAGAAATTGACAACAAAATTTGTTTGATTAATTTATATTTAATATAATAGCATAAATATGCTGTTATATTAGTTTAATGTTTTAATCGTATTTTTAGAAGTTCTAAATTAATAGTCGAGCGATTTTTTCGACCGTGGCTTTGGTCAGATTGGTTATATAACTTAGTGCCTTCAGGAAGAAAATACAATTCAGGGCTTAATATAATACATAAATTTACGAAAGAGGTACGCGCAAAAAGAAACATTAATAATACATTGTAATGTATTAAGATATCGGCAGAATTTTATTAAATTAATTATTTGCATTACTTTTTGTTGGGGTGAATTCAACAAGTTTACAACGGATAAATGATAAATTTCAGGTGATACGTAAGAGAAAGATCGCACGACAATCGTTAAACAGTTCTGCGAAATTGGAAAACGAGGATGACGAACTTGACATAGGTGTGATTATTATATTATCGTTATACATATGCTTTGATGGCTTGTGTAAATATTTTTTAAATTATTTTTATGAAATTTAGTTTGATAGGTAAGCGTAAGAGGAAAGCTTTTCTGGATTTGTTACTAGATGAGAATGAGAAGGCCGAAACTCCGTTAACTGATGATGAATTGAGGGCACATGTCGACACATTCATGTTCGAGGTGAGAGAAAAATCTTTGTAGTTTAACTTAAAATCTCTTCTTATCAGACTCGGTAATGTTATTATAACTGAGTGTTATAGAATTGTAAATGGAGATAATGATACAGGGTCACGACACAACTGCTATTGCGATAACCTGGACGCTCTTTCTTTTGGGCAATAATCTCGAGGATCAAGAAAAAGTTCATGAAGAACTCGAGAAAGTTTTCAAAGATTCAAAGATACCAGCCAGCGTAAAGGAATTGTCGCAGTTAATGTATCTCGATAGGATCATAAAAGAAACGCTCAGACTATTCCCAAGTGTACCTGGGATCTCAAGGAAACTAGCGGAAGATGTAAAGATAGGTATGATAGGACTTTATTTCTATTAATATTAAGATAAAAGAAATCTTAAGATATTTACATTAATCCGGAAATTTGTAAATCTCGCAATTAAACGATAATATTTTTATTTAAAGGATGAAGAGAATGTGTTTCTATTCAGAGAGATATCTTTTTTTATTTATTAAAGGCTAAATAAAAACGATTCAGCAAAAGACCAATAGTTTAAAATCCATTTTAGACAGTCTCTTATTTGCAACAGAAAAGAAAAAATTCCATTTACCATTTGATATTTTGCACGTGTGTGAATGTGTGTGTGTGTGTGTGTGTGTGTGTGTGTGTGTGTGTGTGTGTGTGTGTGTGTGTGTGTGTGTGTGTGTGTGTGTGTGTGTGTGTGTGTGTGTGTGTGTGTGTGTGTGTGTGTGTGTGTGTGTGTGTGTGTGTGTGTGTGTGTGTGTGTGTGTGTGTGTGTGTGTGTGTGTGTGTGTGTGTGTGTGTGTGTGTGTGTGTGTGTGTGTGTGTGTGTGTGTGTGTGTGTGTGTGTGTGTGTGTGTGTGTGTGTGTGTGTGTGTGTGTGTGTGTGTGTGTGTGTGTGTGTGTGTGTGTGTGTGTGTGTGTGTGTGTGTGTGTGTGTGTGTGTGTGTGTGTGTGTGTGTGTGTGTGTGTGTGTGTGTGTGTGTGTGTGTGTGTGTGTGTGTGTGTGTGTGTGTGTGTGTGTGTGTGTGTGTGTGTGTGTGTGTGTGTGTGTGTGTGTGTGTGTGTGTGTGTGTGTGTGTGTGTGTGTGTGTGTGTGTGTGTGTGTGTGTGTGTGTGTGTGTGTGTGTGTGTGTGTGTGTGTGTGTGTGTGTGTGTGTGTGTGTGTGTGTGTGTGTGTGTGTGTTGTTCGTGTTGTGTTGTGTTGTGTTGTGTTGTGTTGTGTTGTGTTGTGTTGTGACAATTTTTCAAATAGTTTTATTACAAACAGAATTCTATTTCGAATTATCTTGTGCAGATTGTCTAAACTATATTTAACATTATATTGTAGGTTTTGCACAAAAGCTACATTTTTTAGACTACAAAAACATTTATACTTAAAAAGTTTATCGATATAAAATTTTATGTGTTGCAGAATACAGTCTATAACAATCTCTTTTATTTTAGGCGATTATACGCTTCCGAAAGATGCTACAGTCATGTTGTTAATCTCATTAACGCATACAAATCCGGAAATTTGGTCAGATCCAAAAAAGTTCGATCCAGATCGCTTTCTTCCGGATAATTCGAAACATAGAAGTCCATATGCCTACGTTCCATTCAGCGCTGGACCAAGAAACTGTATCGGCCAGAAATTTGCTTTACTCAAAGAGAAAGCGATATTAACAGCTATTTTGAGAAAGTGGAGAGTGAAAAGTGTAAAAACAATGGATACAGTTCAATATGGGCTCACTATCACTTATCGACCGTGCGAAGAGATATTCATCCATTTCACGCCAAAGAAATAATTAATTTATCATACCATATACTCTATACACTTTTATGTATATCTTGAAATATATGGTGACGGTTTCGACGTTCTTGTCGTACAGAGGATGACATAATATAACGGATTGTAAATACCGAAATCGTAATATTGGCATATAATAATGAAATTTTATATATACTTACGTTGAGGATGAATACTTGAGGCGATACTTGTTATAATTTTTCTCGAGATATGTACTTTGAAATACAAAAATAACGAAAAATACAGAGCCATTTGAATTTTGCGATCCATCGCGATGCATTTCGACAATTACTGCAGAATACGAAATCGAATAATTAAGTATTTCGATATTCTTAAACCCGTTTTAAGCCAATATAAGACTATGCATGAAAGGTTGCATGAAAGACTGCATGAAAGCTATGTAGTAAAGACTGAGATTGCATAAGATTTGATCAATCGAAAAATCTTTATTCTATTTTTAATTAATTTAAAATCCTAATCTTAGTTTTTAATTTATATTATCTGATTTATCTATATTGTCCAATATTGAATTGATATTAAAATGGATATTAAAGGTTGTTATATATGAAATATGTAAATGCATTGGTTTAATATAAACATTTTATATTAGATAAAGTTGCAATAATAAAATATGTTAAATTGAAATAATAAAATAATTCTGCTAAATGACGTGATAATATGTCATTTTTGAATTTTAATTCATTAAAATATTTATGTATATGTATATATATCAGGTCTACCGGAAAGTTCTGTCCGTTTTTGGAATAAAACAAAATACAAATTTTTATTACCGTCAATAAACTTTATTAAATAATGTAATTGCCATTATTCGGAGAAGTATTGTCAGCGACTGGATAATTTAAATACAGCAGTCGAAGAAAAGAGGCCGGCGATGTTCAATAGGAGGAACATCATACTGCATCATGATAATGCTAGGCCACATGCTGCTTTGGGGACTCGTCAAAAAATTGCAGAACTAGGCTGGGAAATTCTGTCGCATCCACCATATTCCCCGGACTTAGCACCCTCCGACTATCACTTGTTTTTGTCTTTACAAAATTTTTTGAGGGGCAAAAAATTCAAAAATGAAGAAGATATGAAACAAGCACTGGTTCAATTTTTCGTATCAAAAGATAAAACATTTTTCGAAAATGGGATATACAAATTGCCCTCACGCTGGCAAGAAATCATTAATAATAATGGCAATTACATTATTTAATAAAGTTTATTGACGGTAATAAAAATTTGTATTTTGTTTTATTCCAAAAACAGACAGAACTTTCCGGTAGACTTAATATATACATTTATATAAAACTGATGCAATCTTATATACAAATTAATTTAAATAAACATAAAACATGTTTAGAAACATAAATGATTTGGATTTTGCATTGAATTTTGCACAAGATTGTTGAATAAAGTTAAAATCAATTCTAAAATTACTCAAGATTTAATTATTCTAATGTTTTACTAAATTTCACTTAAATCACCAATATTATTTGTTTCGATATTATAGAGGCTAGATAAAATTCTAAAGATATGATGGACATGTTTCTTGGAAATAAATAAATTTTATTTTTATTTGTTTTTTTTTAGCCACATGATTACTCCTTTTTAGCAATTATAAATAATATTAGAATAGCTTGAGATTCTCAGTGCAAGAATTATATCTTTTTCTATACAATTGCTACTACAGATTATTTCTTAAGTGATTTTATTATTTGTTTTTTTCTCATTGATGTAAGAATTTGTTTTATTACAATAAATTCAAAATTTGATGATCCAATGTAAAACATACATATAAAAATGGTATTGCATCGTTGTTGATTATTCAGGTAATCATACATTTGATAAACATTATGAGGAGTTACGAAGCGTGTGGTATGTCCGAAACTCAAATTGAATTTCTATGGCAAATATTTGCTGTAGGACACACAGAAGAGCATATGAAAACGAGTTGTCAACAATTCAGGAATTGCTCAAAACAGTGATTTATTCGACTTTAAACTTTTATCCGATAATATTGCGTATACTGATAGCTTTGATATAGATGTTTATTAATCGATTATAATTCTGCGAATTGAGGTCAAAGATTATCGGAAAATCTGAAATTTAAAATACGCATCAAGCGAGTCACGATGTTATCATTCGGCTTGAAGAGAGAGAGTACCAACATGATTTAAAATTTTACTTGAAATGTCTCGGGATTTTGTTCTATGATAAACAACTTAGTCGCCTTGCGACTAATCCACATAATATTTAATATTTTAATTCTATATTTATTACAAATGCAAACTTTGCTACGTTTTTTAATGAAAAAAATTAAAAACGCTTCGATTTATGACTTACTTGAAATAATTATGTAATTTCCTGTATGGATTGTTACAAGTGTTAAATGGTGTACGCGAATAGAATATCATTTTAGAAAAAAAATTGACATTTGTACAGCAAATGGACAAGTCGACGCGTTGGGACGTGGACGATGACGGCTTTTTCCTAGTAACTAGTGTTTCCCTTCAAGAAAACACCGGCACTACTTTCGCTGGATCCGTCTATATGAATTGAGAGGAAAGATTCTTGTGTCGCGCATTACAGAAACGAGGCCGCATCTTCAGCTACCGAAACAGTAAGATATACATCAGCGATGGTATCTTTAGCGGACTGGCTGGCATCTGTGAGCGGATAAAAGGTGAAAGTTGTTATTTTATAAATCTTGAGATGTTAATTTTTTTTTTGTCTTTTGTGAATTAGTAGCATTGCGAAAATTTGATGGATATTTTACAATGATTTTATAATGGAATTATTATCCTATCAAACGTATATCAATGTTGATGTTTTGTTTACGGAGCTGCCAAATCGAGCAAAAATAAAAAAAATGAAATTATTACGAATGATCTTTTTTTGATATGAATGTACGAGAAGTAAATAAATTATGCGCTTTTATTTCCTTTATAGAAGATTATTGATTCGTGTTTATCTGGTCGTAAAAAGCCAGCAGGTCGCGATTGTCGAATGATCTTGCATCTCTATTGCACGGTGTTCTGATCAGAGTTTTGTTCGTTGATGCTCTTTATCTGTGGCCCGAAGAATTTTTATCTGATTGAAATATTTAAGTATTAAAGCTAAATACTTAAATATTTCAACTAAAAGAATAATAACCAATTAAACGCATTTAGACTAGGCAATAATAATATTTTTCTCCTTGTAAAATTGCAATATATGTCTTGTATATTATCTAACATGTGTGTGTGCACTCATCACTACTAGAACAGCAATTACCGGTCGTAAAAATTTTCTGATGAGAATAAAGAGCAAGGATCAAGTATTTAAATTATTATCATAATCGGTTTAGCAAGTAACAATCATGATCAGCAGGGTTGCGTTCGAGAACGTCATTCTATCTTTGTTCAACTTTTAATAAATAATGAAGATAAAACGATGCTCGGTGCACATGGGTGACTTTCTCAAACGCAGCCCAGAATATGCAAGAAAATCACAGAGATTATATACATTATATCTTTACGTGAGATTATATACATTATACGTTTACGCGATGAAGATAGAGATTACACTTCACACATTGCCTGAGCTAAAGCTTATTATGTATATATTGTAACATTTCTTAAGTATGCGTGCTTTACAATTATTACTTAAATATACTATGTATATGCAAACGGTTATTGTTTCAATCAGTTTTTGTCACATATTTCATTGTTATCAAAAGTTACTTCACAATACAGCATTCTTCCAATTGTGCAAAAACACTTCAAACGCTTGCAAGGAGAAATCATATAAGATAAATGATTCGACTTCGTACATTGCATTGTGTGAATTTTTATATATATCTGATTCGAGTAGCGCAAAGCGAGAATGAGACTCAAACAATGAACATTAAAATAGCAGTATCATTTTGCGATTGAATCTTGAATCGAGAAGAAGTAAGAGCAATTATATAAGCATCTATTCTCCTCCCCTCTCTTTTTCTTTTAGTTATTTTATTATATTTAATTATATTACATTTCTATGTACAAAGCATGATAAATTATAATACGTAATAAGTGATGAAGCAGTGATATCTGCGAAAAGTGTCAAATATCTTGGTAAAACATCATTGTTTGAACATTAATTGCTTCGACATAACAGTAAGTATCGAAATCTTGCATTTTTTTCAGTATAATTTAGTTAAAACTCGTGGTTTTGCTTTTTATTTGTTTCAAGACACAAAGTAATTCACGCGAAGTTAAAATGTGATTTAATAAAAAAACTCATGAAACAAAGTACGGGCGGATATTTTTTGAGGAGAGATCAATCTTTGCTATCTCGATTCTTTAAATCCTATTATATAAAATTAAGATAAGTAATCATTCGGAAACAAAATTAACAGTGTATATTCAAAATTTTACGGATCATAATTCTTTGAAACTCGGTTATATACGTATATGTCAATTAAACAGTAATGATGGAGCGCTTACATTGTTGCGCAAATGTATGTGTGTTTGATCAAAAATTTGAAATTCAATATTGCTTTAATATTTTGTAAACACCATATATATCATATATTTAAATTATTGATTCGTGTTTATCTTAAAAGGTCGTAAAAAGCCAGCAGGTCACAGTTGTCGAATTTTCTCGCATTCTATTGCACAGCGTTTTGATCAGACTGTTGTTCGTAGATACTTTTCACCTGTGGAGAATTTTCACCTACGTCGCGCGTCGCTACGCATCGATATGTTAATCTCTTTGCCGCCTGTTAAATACAACATCAACGAGCCATGTTGGTTTGATAATAAATAAGTAATAAATTATTTCGTTATCGTTTATTACAAACACTTATCAATCATAAATAAAAACCAAGGCCAATTGGAGCGCGGACGCGATACTTAGAGCGTGAACAACAATTATTATCTTTCTTTAGGAATACATTAACTATGCGTTACAAATAGTTCAAACGTTTCGACCCACTTCGAGTCCTGTTCAATGAAATTCGGATAAAAAGATTAAAAACTAAAAAGATACAAACGGTAAATCCATCTAAAGCATAGTGACGTAATGATAAATATGAATGGATAATACGGCGCAATAAAATTATACATTATAGTTTAACGCGCTTCCAATATGTGTACACACCATTCGATGGAACAAAAAGAAATAATTTCGATCCTATTAATTATCAGATTTATCACACGAATAATAGGTTCTCGTTATGAATAATATGATGGTCTTTTGTCGAATAGAAGAAGACGCCAAATTATTCATAACGAGAACCTATTATTTGCATGGTAAATCTGATTATTAATAGGACCGAAATTATTTCTATAATAATGGATTCTATAATGGATAATAATTCCATTTAGATTTGCCGCTTGCGTCTTTTTAATTCTTAATCTTTTTATCCGAGTTTCATTGAAAAGGAACCGAAGTGGATCGAAATGTTTGAACTATTTGTAATGCATAGTTAATGTATTCCTAAAGAAAGATAATAATTATTGTTCACGCTCTAAGTACAGTGTCCGGGTTTTAATTGACCTAGGTTTTTTATTTATTATTAATTCTTATTCATCATTTGAGCTTCCCTAACTACTTAATTTTTTAATTCTATTAACTTATTCAAATACTTATATTCTCTTATCGTAATACGTACGCGATTTTTATTGTAATATACTATCTTTTTTTAGTTCAAATATTTAAGTATTTAAGCTAAATACTTCAATATATTTTAACTAAAAAAATAATAAACAATTAAGCGCATTTAGACAATAAAATGCGCTTAATAAATGTAACATTGCAATATACGTATTGTATATTATCTAACACATGTGTGTGCATACATCACTACTGAAACAATAATTTAACAGTAATTACCGGTTGTAAAAAATTTTCTGTCAAGAATAAAGCAAGAATCAAGTATTTATAAATTATTATCGTAACCGATTTGGCAACTAAGAACCATGATCAGCTGAATACGCAAGAAGATCACAATAGTGAAGTTATATACATTATGTCATTACACGACATAAATAGAGATTATTATATATACTATTACTTATTGTTAGATATACTATTTATATGCAAACAATTATCGTATTTATCGGTTTACATCTTGTATCTTATTGTTATCAAAGGACAGTTCACACAAAACGGCATATTTTTAATCGTACAGAAACATTTCAAATGCTTGCGAGGAGAAATTCTATAAGATAAGTGATCCGGTTTCGTTGTATATATTACATTGTGAGTATTTATATATTGCTGGTTCGAGTAGCGCAAAGCGAGAATTGAAAATAAAAATAAGATAAAAGATAATAAAGATTAAGACTTGAATGATAAAGATTAAGATGCATCATTTCGTGATCGAATCTTGAGTCGAGAAGAAGTAAAAACAATTATATAATCTTCTGCTTTAAAAAAAAAAGTTATTCTAAAACATTTTTTTTAAAGCATCTATTCTTCTCCTCTCTCTTTTTCTCGGTTATTTTATTTTTATTATATTTAGTTATACTATATTTATATATAAAGCATGATAAATTATGATTTATAATTAGTAGTGAAGCGCAGCGATATTTGCTAAAAGTGACAAATATTTTGACAAAGCATTATTGTTTGCTCCGACGTAACGAACAGTAAGTACCGAAATCTTGCATTTTTTCAGTATCATTTAGATAACATTCGTGGTTTCGTTTTTTACTTTTTCAAGACACAAAGTAATTCGTGCAAAGTTAAAATGTAATTTAATAAAAAAACTCATAAAACAAAGTACGGACGGATACTTAATTTCGCAAATAATTCTTTGAAACTCGGTTATATACGTATATTTCAATTAAACAGTAATGATGGAGCGCTTATATTATTGCGCAAATGTACGTTTGATCAAAAATTTGAAATTCGATATTGCTTTAATATTTTGTAAACACCCATATATATCATATCTTTAAATTATTGTTAAACAAACTGAAAATTGTGTAAATTAGAAACTTGCACATTACTTCCTCACCATTTTATCTCACAAAGCTTAAGCTCCTTAAAGCAAGCGGGTTTTTCAATCTTTGCTTCCTCATAAAGGATGTGAGCGAAATAAAAAGATAAAGAAGCTATATGCTATTTTCTAATTTACACACTTTTTTATTTTTATATAATCGTTATAAATTATACATTTTCAGAAATGTAAAAACTCATTTAAGAAACACTTAATTCACTTTATTATAAGAAAAGATAACACAAGAAACATTGATAAACAGTTTAAAAGAACGGAGCTGTCAGTAATGCATTCTAATGACTTGATAGCTGTCTCAATACTAATATTCTGTTGTTGACCAAAACACTTTTGCACGTCGTCCTGGAAATCATCTTCACTTTTAGCGTCTTTAATGATACTCTATTTATGTAAAAAAATTTAATCCGATATCTCAAAATTTGCGAAAATTGCAACGTGTACAAACATTTTTCAAAAAATTCAAAATTTTATAAAAAATGAACTTTTTCACCGATCCTCATCAAATCCAATACCAACCATCCTTTAATAATATTCTAGCCATATAAAAAAAATTATCCAGATATCTCAAAAATTGCGGAAGTTAGAGGTTGGACAAACATCCCGTACATACAATACATACATTTTTTAGGAATATGATTTTTTGACGTTTTGGAACATTCTGAACACATTGGCATAAAAAAATTTTGTCACAAAAACAAAGCTTCCTCTATGAGGAAGCAAACAAGAATAATTATACGTTTTAAACCGCAAAACTTTTTAAAGATCTCAATGAAATACGGTGGAAAAATAAAATATAAATAATTTATTGCGATTTTCGTGAATCTTTCGATCAATGAACACAGATTCCAAATTTGGACGAGTTACATAGAAATAATCAATAAATGTTTTGCCGACAAAATATTATCAATCACATTAATTTTATATTCAATTTTCATCGATGATATGTATTTATATACACATTATATCCAATCTTCTTTAATAAAGTATCTTTATAAAATTTTCTGAGTTAGTGAAGATAATAATGATATAAACATCGTGTCAATGAAATATTTGTCAATGTGTGTGTGTAAAATTTCAATGTAATTCTATTTTAAAAAGTATTTATAATAATTTATGCATTTACATATTTGGTAACTTGGGCTGTTTAATATGTTTACAGGCTATAAGAATGGAGTTAATCTCTTTGATACTGTGCGCCTTGTTCGTTGCTTTAATCCCCGCGATTATATTGACAGTGTATCATCAGTATGTTCTTCGACGAAAGCTGAAAAATATTCCTCAATATGGTAGATTTCCTTTTGGCGTGGCATTTGAATTAATGAAGTTGACGGACTATGGTGAAGAACTTTATAAATAAGATATTGCTATTATATGCTTTTACAAATATTGTTTACATATTTTTAGTAAAAAGTTTAAAAGAATTAACAACTGAAAAAAAATTTGTCATTTATTTTAAATCAGTATAATAATTAGTAAATACTGAAAATCTAATTATGTGCTTATCGCTACAGGACGCATGCAATGGCTTGAGCAACGTATGCTTGATTTTAAAAATGGAATTTTTATTTTTTTTGTTGGCATGAAACCGTTCATTAATATCTATAAACCTGAATTTTTAGAGGTAAGAATGAAAAGAATCTTACTAATAGTATAACAAAATCTTATAGTAAAGTATCGGTTATATTTTTTGCGATGTAAATGTGTGTGTATAAATAGTAATTTATAATATCGTAAGAAAACGAAACTTTTTCTTAATAGTAATAGAAATAGAAATACAGTAAACTTTTATAAACATATTATTATAAATTATCAAAATGTTTTTTGATGTAATAGGGAAAAAGAATTTTGTTAATGGTCAGTAATACAATTGCTGTTATTGCATATATAAAAAATATGTCCATATTTTGCTATTATAATGAATTATTTAATATTATAACAAAATAAAGAAACAAATTAAATATTAGAAATTAAATATGACAAATTTAACAAATAAAAATTTTATTAAATTAAGAATTTGTTAAATTTAACGAATTTAAGAAATTTAATATTACAAGTTTAATGTTACAACAAAACTTCTTTTTTTCGATGAAATAGAAAAATTTTTGCTGATTATATTTATTTGTAAAAATATAAATTTACTGTTAAAGTAAAATAATTTATTCCTAATAATTGCTTTTAGCCATTCATTGTTTTGGTGATTGTAGAATAAACAGTAATTTATTATTTTAGAAAACAATTTTATTTGTGTGTATTGTATCGTATCGAGTTTGTATGTGTTGTGCATGTGCATATAGTGTCGATAAATCTCAATACTGTTTATTTGAAAAGACTCTCTTGTTTGATGATTATTTGAACTTGCTTGATTTTTATTTGAAAAGATAATTCGCTTGATGATCTTTGCATCTTATAAAGAAAGAAAAATATGCAGACTCAGCGGATGATATTTCACATCGCCGAAGTAAATTGAGATCTATTATAATATTGACAATAAAAAAAAGATTTTTTTATTAGGAAAAGCCACCCTGTATATATATATATATTCTTGCATCTACTATATTATATCTGCGTCATTAAAAAAACTGAATCGCCTCTCGAGTGAGATATTTCACGGTAAACCTTATATTCCTCAATTATATATTCCAAGTTAATTCAACGATCTAGTCAATTATCGGTTTCATATTTAGAATATAAATAAAAATGATAAAATAGAATGTCTTTTTCTACTGGTACATCAGGAAAAATGTAATTAACGATACATGAAAAAATAAATCGTAAATATGGAATAAAAGTTTTGCATATGAAACTCTGTTTTTGAAAAAATTAGAAATATGAAAAAAGATATCCTATTTAACATAAATGTGATAAATTATTACGCGCACGGTTATATTCTTTTTAAACACATTTTTACAGATTATTTTACCCAGCACCGTAAATATCGAGAAAGGATTTCCTTATCATTTGATGGAATCTTGGTTAGGCAAAGGGCTTTTACTTTCTACAGGTAAACGCATAAACTCTTTTACAACTATTTTTAATACTTCATTAAAGATGAAAAGTACATTGCAGCTTATACCAGATTATGCGTTTTTGATATATGGTTATTCGCGAAAGCATTTAGAACAAATTACAAGAAAACAGAAGAGTAAAATTTCACTCTAATGCAACTACGTAAATTTTTGTATATATTTACACCTAACAAAAAATGAGATATTTTTTTCGTGTTCTTATCTTTGTGTGATTACTTGTGTAACTGATTTTACATATTATTAATTATTCATATTAATTGGCACGCTTTAAAACGTTAGTCAGTTGTTTGTGGAATTTTCTTTACACTACAAATATTTGGTAGCGATATGCAAAAAAAAAACAAAACTAAAATAAAATATAAAATTGTATAATAAAATGTTCTTTTTCATTTTTATACTAATTTTTGCGCACTTATATTCTTTATGTCTCGTACAATTTTTTTAAGACGTAAATGTATTGTTGATTGAACTGCTTCAGGAAAACAATGGAATCATGATAGAAAACTCATCGGGCCGACGTTCCATTTTAGTATATTGGATCAATTTGCCGTGGTTATATCCGAAAAAGCAGAGATTCTGACAAAATGTCTTGAGAGAGAAATAGCAAAGAACACAGGAAAAGCTATCAATATTTTTCCGTTCGCTAACAATGTTGCTCTCGACATTATATGTGGTAATAAACATATATATATATCACATCATTATAATATATAATATGTCTTGTAGACAAAAGTATCGCTGACACAGTATATTTTGTGCTGCAATAACAAATTTTCAGTTACATGATATGAATAATAAAAAGATCTGTCAAGTACTATAAATTTTAATTTTGCTGAACCAATATATAAGTTCTTTCGTTATAATAATAAATTGATTGCCTATTTATTTATTTATTCATTTATTTCGCTATTAAATCAACACTTAAAAATATGTTTGCTAGAGAAATAGATGATTTTGCTTTAACATTGAATTTATTCTCTACAGTCAAATTTAATCGGCACACAAGATCATTCTATTCTGTTAGTATAATTTCGATGATCTCGATTTCCGACATTGTATATGTATACCAACGCAGAAATCAAATCTTACGTGACATTTTTTATATAATTATGAGAATAAATATATGACTTATTCTCGTAGATATTTAAATATAAGCAAAATTTTATATCAGTTTCGGTATATAAAAATTAATTATTTGACTCAATATTATTTTCGAGAGTTATAAGTATTAATTTTATTCTTTTATGGAATTTGTAAAGAATATAGCATACATTGACAAGCAAGTTATGGCGATAATAATAATAAATAATTATTTTGCAGAGACGGCAATGGGTGTGGATATACATGCTCAAGAAGTTGAAACCGAGTATACCACAACAATACATAGGTTCGAAAAGTCACGAGTTACATTATTTTGTTAGTAATAAAATAGTTAACAGCATTAATGACTTATTAAGAAGATCTGTTTAAGAATTAACAACAGAATTTGTTTGATTAATTTATATTTAATATACTTAATAGCATTAATATGTTATTATATCAGTTTAACGTTTTGATCGTATTTTTAGAAGTTCTAAATTAATAGCCGACCGATTTTGTCAACCGTGGCTTTGGTCAGATTGGTTGTATAACTTAGTGCCTTCAGGAAGAAAATACAATTCAGGACTTAGCAAAATACATAAATTTACGAATGAGGTATGCGCAAAAAGAGACGCTAATAATACATTGTAATGTATTAAGATATCGGCAGAATTTTATTAAATTAATTGTTTACACAATTTTTATTGGGATAAATTCAACAAGCTTACAACGAATAAATGATAAATTTCAGGTGATACGTAAGAAAAAGATTTCACGACAATCGCGAAACAGTTCTGTCAAATCGGAAAACGAGGATGACGAACTTGATATGGGTATGATTATTAAATTATTAAATTATTGTTATATATATGCTTTGATGGCTTGTATAAATATTTTTTAAATTATTTTTGTAAAATTTATTTTGTTAGGTAAGCGAAAGAGGAAAGCTTTTCTGGATCTGTTACTAGATGAGAATGAGAAGGCCGAAACTCCGTTAACTGATGATGAATTGAGAGCACAAGTCGACACATTCATGTTCGAGGTGAGAGAAAAATCTTTGAAGTTTAACATAAAATTTCTTCTTATCAGACTCGATAATGTTATTATAACTGAGTGTTATAAAATTGTAAGGACATATAATGATACAGGGTCATGATACAACTGCGGTTGCGATAACCTGGACGCTTTTTCTTTTGGGCAATAATCTCGAGCATCAAGAAAAAGTTCATGAAGAACTTGAGGAAGTTTTCAAAGATTCAAAGATACCAGCCAGCGTAAAAGAGCTGTCGCAATTAAAATATCTCGATAGGATTATAAAAGAAACGCTTCGATTCTATCCAAGCGTACCTATGGTCTCAAGGAAATTAGCGGAAGATGTAAAAATAAGTATGTCAGGACTTTATTTATATTAATATTAAGATAATAGAGATCCCTAAATATTTACATTAATTTGTAAATTTGTAAATCTTGCAATTGAGCTGTAATATTTTTATTTAAATGATGAAGAGAAAATATGCTTATGTTCAGAGAAATCTTCTTTTCTTAGTTATTAGAGGCTAAATAAAGGCGATTCTGCAAAACATCAATAGTTTAAAATACATTTTAGATGGTCTCTAATTTGCGATATAATTCTAGAAAAAATTCTATTTTTCATTTTATACTCCGCGTGTATGTGTGTGTGTATCAATTCTTCAAATATTATTATTACAAATAAAATTCTATCACTAATTATCTTATCAAATCATCTAAAGTAGATTTAACATTATAATATGGATTTTACACAAATATTCCATTATTTAGACAACAAAAATATTTACATTAAAAAATTTATCAATATAAAATTTTATGCGTGTGTGTCAGAATACAGTCTATAACAATCTGTTTTATTTTAGATGATTATACACTCCCGAAAGGTGCTATAGTCGTATTGCAAATCGCTATAACGCATATAAATCCGGAAGTTTGGCCAGATCCAAAAAAGTTCGATCCAGATCGCTTTCTTCCGGATAATTCGGAACATAGGAATCCATATGCCTATATTCCATTCAGCGCTGGACCAAGAAACTGTATCGGCCAGAGATTTGCTTTACTTGAAGAGAAAACAATATTAACAGCTATTTTGAGAAAATGGAGAGTGAAAAGTGTAAAAACGGCGGATGCAGTTTCATACGGAGCCACTCTCATTTTCCGACCAAGCGAAGACATATACATTCATTTCACGTCAAAGAAATAATCAATTTATCAGCAAATGTCTATTTTTCTTTATCGTGCGCAATTTTTATAATCTTTTTCGATTATACGGAATTTGAATGTTTTCATGTTATTGTCATTGTGCATATAGTGTACATATTATATGTACACGATACACTTTTATACATAGTAATTAAGGAGTGATACGATGAGTTATACGTTTAATTATTACGAAATATCGAGCAAATATGTAGCGTTAAACATTGCATATAGTCAAGAGTAAAAAGAACATAAATGATTTGTGAACATTTTTTTTCCTACGCAAATGTCATTGATTGTTTTAATCGCAACATATCAATAATATATATCACAAAAATGAAAGCAGATGACAAGCACACAGATTTAAATTGCTATGATAACCATAATAAATTTAAATTTAATTAATTTGTAGAAACTGGATTAGTATGTTACTTACATTTTCTTTCTCTCTTTGGAAATCTGTCTTGTAATTTATATGTACATTATCTACAAGTGAATCTTCGAAGAAAATACGATTTATGCACAAATTCTAAATTCCGCAAAAATTCATAATTCGGAAAAATATCAAGAAAGTCAGATTGGTGTGTATTCTCTAGATTCGCTACCGCGTTGCTTTTTACCGCGCGGCAAACCTTTCCGCGTCCTGTATGTGGGAGCCATTACTCAATGCGGAACACAGCCTGTATTATTGTAATTGTAATGTATCGACAATCAGTCGTACCAATCTTCAATCATCGCTTTGCGTAGCACATGTCTCTGAATATTTCGTCAGAGAGAAGTCTGAGAAGGACTATGCTGCCGTTTCTCATAAGACGTTTTTTCTAGCTTATACAGTAACGTTAACTAGATCCATTTTAGAGCCGACGGAATTACATGGCCAGGTTCACTTTTTAGTGCCACGGTAAAACAATCGATCGTGGTACATGTTAGATCCATAAATGTCAAAATTGCAAAGAAATATTATGAATTTATTAATGTTTAATTAGCTGCGCGTGATGTTTTGCCATTCTAGTATATATTACGGACAGCGATAATAAGTTATTATTGAAGTATTTTTATATGCGCATATAAAATAAAATAAAATTTTTTTAAATTAATTTTCTTAATCTTTTTTCTAATTTTTAGATACAATGTGTCGAAAATATTTACAATAAATTCTGCTTTTACTTTTTTATTATTCTTGTATTTTTATTTAAATGATGAAGAGAAAATATGCTTATGTTCAGAGAAATCTTCTTTTCTTAGTTATTAGAGGCTAAATAAAGGCGATTCTGCAAAACATCAATAGTTTAAAATACATTTTAGATGGTCTCTAATTTGCGATATAATTCTAGAAAAAATTCTATTTTTCATTTTATACTCCGCGTGTATGTGTGTGTGTATCAATTCTTCAAATATTATTATTACAAATAAAATTCTATCACTAATTATCTTATCAAATCATCTAAAGTAGATTTAACATTATAATATGGATTTTACACAAATATTCCATTATTTAGACAACAAAAATATTTACATTAAAAAATTTATCAATATAAAATTTTATGCGTGTGTGTCAGAATACAGTCTATAACAATCTGTTTTATTTTAGATGATTATACACTCCCGAAAGGTGCTATAGTCGTATTGCAAATCGCTATAACGCATATAAATCCGGAAGTTTGGCCAGATCCAAAAAAGTTCGATCCAGATCGCTTTCTTCCGGATAATTCGGAACATAGGAATCCATATGCCTATATTCCATTCAGCGCTGGACCAAGAAACTGTATCGGCCAGAGATTTGCTTTACTTGAAGAGAAAACAATATTAACAGCTATTTTGAGAAAATGGAGAGTGAAAAGTGTAAAAACGGCGGATGCAGTTTCATACGGAGCCACTCTCATTTTCCGACCAAGCGAAGACATATACATTCATTTCACGTCAAAGAAATAATCAATTTATCAGCAAATGTCTATTTTTCTTTATCGTGCGCAATTTTTATAATCTTTTTCGATTATACGGAATTTGAATGTTTTCATGTTATTGTCATTGTGCATATAGTGTACATATTATATGTACACGATACACTTTTATACATAGTAATTAAGGAGTGATACGATGAGTTATACGTTTAATTATTACGAAATATCGAGCAAATATGTAGCGTTAAACATTGCATATAGTCAAGAGTAAAAAGAACATAAATGATTTGTGAACATTTTTTTTCCTACGCAAATGTCATTGATTGTTTTAATCGCAACATATCAATAATATATATCACAAAAATGAAAGCAGATGACAAGCACACAGATTTAAATTGCTATGATAACCATAATAAATTTAAATTTAATTAATTTGTAGAAACTGGATTAGTATGTTACTTACATTTTCTTTCTCTCTTTGGAAATCTGTCTTGTAATTTATATGTACATTATCTACAAGTGAATCTTCGAAGAAAATACGATTTATGCACAAATTCTAAATTCCGCAAAAATTCATAATTCGGAAAAATATCAAGAAAGTCAGATTGGTGTGTATTCTCTAGATTCGCTACCGCGTTGCTTTTTACCGCGCGGCAAACCTTTCCGCGTCCTGTATGTGGGAGCCATTACTCAATGCGGAACACAGCCTGTATTATTGTAATTGTAATGTATCGACAATCAGTCGTACCAATCTTCAATCATCGCTTTGCGTAGCACATGTCTCTGAATATTTCGTCAGAGAGAAGTCTGAGAAGGACTATGCTGCCGTTTCTCATAAGACGTTTTTTCTAGCTTATACAGTAACGTTAACTAGATCCATTTTAGAGCCGACGGAATTACATGGCCAGGTTCACTTTTTAGTGCCACGGTAAAACAATCGATCGTGGTACATGTTAGATCCATAAATGTCAAAATTGCAAAGAAATATTATGAATTTATTAATGTTTAATTAGCTGCGCGTGATGTTTTGCCATTCTAGTATATATTACGGACAGCGATAATAAGTTATTATTGAAGTATTTTTATATGCGCATATAAAATAAAATAAAATTTTTTTAAATTAATTTTCTTAATCTTTTTTCTAATTTTTAGATACAATGTGTCGAAAATATTTACAATAAATTCTGCTTTTACTTTTTTATTATTCTTGGAACAAAAGTATCAAGCATTTTAAAGAATATCAAATTATGCTTTTTATTTATATAACATTTTATTATTAATTAATTTATTATTAATTATATTATGTAATTAAAAGTTTAAATTTACATAAATCTTAAAAGGAGAAAGTTTATATATACAAATTATCTTAATTTTCTAAATCATATAATCCCGAAAAGTAGATCA